AAAAAAAAAAAAAAAAAAGATAATGTTCAATATCAAATGTTATCACTGCTTAACTGCAGCTTCCTAGCCTTGTTTAGTCTCTATGTGCAAAGTCTGAATTACACTCAAAAAGGTTGCAGGGGCTTATAGTATTATTTCATTTGTATCTGTGGTCTCCAGAGTCCAGTATCCCAAGTGAGTAATGTGTATGCAGGCCCACGTATTAAAAGTCCTCGTGAAATTTTAAATTGCACAGTGACTAAGTCCTGGTTCTTTGGAAACATTCAAGAACGGGTATCCCTGGAAGATATTATTGACAACTGTTATCTGAACCTATGTTGGATGCTGTATCAATACCATCATATGCTACTTTTTCCACTGACGTTTCCTTAGAAACCTGCTGTTAATTTAGCTCATTTCAGTGCTGTGCGTGTAAAGAAGCTTAAGTGTTCATTGTGAGTTTTCTCATGGCCCTTCCAGTTTATGTCCTAGTCGAAAACATTTTGAAATGAACTAATAGACCAAAATAAAATCATTGTGGTGACTTTCTTCTTTACAGATACTTGTGGCTTTGCGGCATCTTCACTTTAAAAATATCGTTCACTGTGACCTCAAACCAGAAAACGTGTTGCTAGCCTCGGCCGATCCTTTCCCCCAGGCGAGTATAAAAGCCTCTCCCAGCAAAGCCAGCAGCTCTGGCTCCCCGGCAGGATTCTGCCACCTTTCATCCTCAAAACCTTTATTTGTTTCAAGTTTTACCTGTTCATGTTCATCCACTTGTTTCCTGGTTATATTTTCGGGACTTCAGTTTTGTCCCTCTGGCTTCTTAGTTCAGCCTGCCTTAGCCAACACAGGAGCCTTCTCAGTGGGCTCTGTTACCTTCTGTTGTACCCCGATCCTGGCGTGCTGGCAGTCCTGTGTGGAAAGCACAGGCCCGAGAGGGAGAACACTGGAGTCCCGGGGACATTTAAATTTAGTGTTGTTCTCAGGGACAAGGGCAAAAGTTTCTGCTTTCCCTCAGCTCCGAGGATGGAAAGCAACTGCATATCTTCCCATGGAATCATGACTGAAGTGACCTAAGTCCCTGAAATGACCTAAGTCGCTAAGGCGGCTGTCTGCCTTGCTTCCTTGGCATCTTCATGTCCTGTCTAGGTTCCCATGGAGTTAGTTTGGAGGAGTATTGTAGGTAACATGGCAAGCCTCTATGCTTATCCCTCAACCTTTCTTTCTTTCTTTTTCTTTCTTTCTTTCTTTCTTTCTTTCTTTCTTTCTTTCTTTCTTTTTAATTAATGTATTTATTTTCAAGTTACTTAACATACAGCGTAGTCTTGGCTTCAGGAGTAGAACCCAGTGATTCATCTCTCACATATAACACACAGTGCTCATCTCGAAAAGTGCTTTCCTTCATGCCCATTTAAGCCACCCCCCAACACCCCCTCCAGTAATCCTCAGTTTGTTCCCTGTATTTCAGAGTCTCTTTTGGTTTGCCTGTCTCTCTTTTTACCTTATCTTTCCTTTCCTTCCCCATGTTCCTCTGTTGAGTTTCTCCAATTCCACATATGGGTGAAATCATGTGATACCTGCCTTTCTCTGACTAGTTTCACTTAGAATAATACCCTCCAGCTCCATCCACATTGTGCAAATGGCAAGATTTCATTCTTTTTCATCTTCAAGTAGTATTCCATTGTATATATATACCACATCTTCTTTATCCATTCATCAGTTGATGGACATTTGGGCTCTTTCCGTAATTTGGCTATTGTTGATAGTGCTGCTATAAACATTGGGGTGCATGTGCCCCTTCAAATCAGCATTTTTGTATTCCTTGGATAAACCTTTATTTATAATAAGCCCTTGAGTTTAGTCCATCCCTTCCATATTTACATGACATTTTCCTGCCTTGTAAAACAATATTACCCACTCCTGAGTATACATATTTTCACATTTATCACTTTGTTTTGGGTGGGGGGAGGAAGGGAGAATGTTTAGATGATATTTATGAATGAAATATGCTTTTGTACCAGAACTTCCAGCACTGTGTCCAAGTATATAAAATGGAAAATAGCTGTTACTTCCATCATGAGAAATCCATACAATGTATGTAAAGAATTACAGTTGTCTTTGGCAGGCCTGGGCTAAGACACATGATGATGTGTGTCTGTGACCTTACCATTCCTGCAAACCATTATTATCAACAGATAATCTGTGACCTTACCAGACAGATGATCTGTGACCTTACCATTCCTGCAAACCATTATTATCAACAGGTGAAACTTTGCGACTTTGGTTTTGCCCGGATCATTGGAGAAAAGTCTTTCCGGAGGTCAGTGGTGGGTACCCCAGCTTACCTGGCTCCTGAGGTTCTAAGGAACAAGGGCTATAATCGCTCTCTAGACATGTGGTCTGTTGGAGTCATCATCTATGTAAGCCTAAGTGGCACATTCCCATTTAATGAAGATGAAGACATACATGACCAAATCCAGAACGCAGCTTTCATGTATCCACCAAATCCCTGGAAGGAAATCTCTCATGAAGGTAATATCTTCCATTCAGAAATGATAATGGTTTAATCCTTAAGTGTTATATTGTTAAATCAATTGAGAATTATTAAATTGATAAATGTTCGTTGCAAATTGTCCACTGGAGTAGGGGCGCAATTTGATTAAGGTGGATTGGGAAGGACCAAAAACGTCTTCTGATGAAATGTACATATGTTGTGGAGAGATTGAGCAATAAATATTAAGAGGCAAATGAAACAAAAAGAAACTGTTAATATTTTGATATATTTCCTTAGAACTTATAAATACTTATACATTGGTATAATAGAAACAGCTAATCTCTACCAAGAATAATCTTTACCTACCATATACCTGCATTTGTATTAAGCACTTTTAATCCATTATGGGCACAAGAACTCTATGATAGTGATAATTGAATTATCATACTATGTTAGTCTGCAAGTTCTTTGTGCGCTGATTTCCTTTGTGTGACATTAAAGTATGTATGGTATTTTATCTAGCCATTTCACTGGTATTATATTTTTAGGTTGTTTCTATTTGATCCTTAAATATAATTTCTATATGTATCTCTGATGATTTCTTTAAGATAGATTACCTTGACAGTGAGTGTTGCGTTATTTAAATTCTTAACAAACCTTTCCTTCTCCTTAAAGAAAAAGAGAGTTTTAAAAGAAGTGGCAGGGGCAGTCAGGGCAGAGAAAATAGCACACTTCAGAGTAGAATTCCCCAATGAACCTACTTTGGAGTTCATTCAATCTCACAAAAAACCCGTTAAGTATTACTTACCCTGTATTTCAAGGAAGAACACTGAGGCAAAAGAACTGACAGACACCACAGGCCAAAATCGCCAAGCTAGTAGGTGACAGAGCCAGAATGTATACCCAGATGTGTATATGCCCAGGGCATATACCCAGATATGCTGGGTATAGACCCACATAGACTGGGGATATACCCAGTCTGATCACATATTCTTCGATCACCAGTCCTTTGGTTTTCAGGCCACGTCTAGTTCTAAGTTTGTTCAAATTTCTCACCACTTTAAAAGGCAAGTACAGTCAGAGATAAACATCTGTTTGATATCTGTTACTGCATGCAGTGATGTGGGAATCAGAAAAGAATGTATCTAAACTGCCCGAGGTAATTAACTCCTGTTAGTATTAAGTGACAAGAGTTATCCATTATTAGGGTTTTGAGTTACTATTAGCAATAACCCTGAACATCTTCTAATTAGTTGTAAATCATAGCTGGATGGATATATCTTAAAGGAATCTGTGACCTACAAATGAACTATCATGTAGCCAAAGTACTAATGAAATATTTCGGATAATTCAACAGAGGCAAAAAGCAAAGTATAATTAGGTTTCTTTTCCTGGGGGCAGAAAGGTGGAATTATCAATAACCTTGTGACCAGTTAGGAAACACTACCTTTAAATATGGCTAACCATTATGTTTGATACCTGCAATCCATAAATTCAATAGAAGGACTTGCTATTGTTACCATGGTGCAAATCTGGAATACCTCTGAAGCTAGTCATGTTTTCCTGTTATGCAGGAATAGAGCATTGGGTAAACTGCCTCACATTTAAATTTTTTTTTTTTTTCTGGGAGTAGTGTAGTACTTTTTCTTGAAGTAGTAGAATAAATGATGCTTGGTCTCTGATACAACGGAAATGTCCTGGCCTAGCTGTTAGATATAACCTATTTAGGGCAGAAACAAATAGCTATAGATTGTGAATGTTTAATTATCACTGATAATAGAGGCCAGAGACCTAGATATTAATGGCTCAAGAAACTCTTTTGGGAAATCACAAATATATATGTGGATAGATAGATAGATATAGATATATATAGACACACACACACATACACACACACACACACACACACACACACACACACACTAGGTAACATGAAAGAAAAGGACAAAAATAAAATACTCTTTAAAGAACTTGAAGCTAAATGGAGAGATGCCAAGTTCAAAGGAGAAAGAATCACTGTGGACTTGACTAGTCAGAATTGCATTTTCAGAGGAGATGAAATTTAGGCCAGTCACTAAAAATTGCAAAGAAAGAGATACAGCATTTGAGAAAGAGAATTACATGGGAAATTTAAAAGGCATTTATATTTGACCAGGAAGTACATATTTTACTTGGCTACAGATATTTCTAAGTGCTAAAAATTTCATATCACTCAGACAAAGTGATATAGAGACCAGCTGAGACAGAACTTCACCTTTCTAAATCAGTTTGGGAATTGAGAGGGAATGGCCTCTCTCCTCAGTATCTTCCTCTGACTCATCCTTGCCTTTGAGGCACAAGAGTTGTACTATTTGCCAATTGCTGCCCTGGATGGGAAATGAGTTACCTAGTTGCTGGTATATGAACAGTACTAATAGTTGAATATAAAGAAAAAGTGAAATTATGTCATAGTATTAGCTGAGGTGTTACAAAAGTAATTAGGCTAGGTAAAAAGGACAGGCCCCAAGTCTGTCCCACTATTGTTGAGAACAAACAATTCCCTCACAAAAAGTTGTAACAGGAGCTGGGACCATGCAATTTTAAGCACGTAGGATCTGAGAAATACACAAGGAAACTAGTATTGGCAAAGGATGGTCACAACTGATAATAGTAAATTTTTAGTCTCCATATACTTTAAACCTTGCCAGAATCACTAAAAATCTAGATACGAGGAAATAAAAATCGAAGCCCCTCAGTGACTCAAAAATCAAAGGTAAGAATCAACAGTCCAGTGGCTTGAGTTGTGGTCCTATCTGCCATTCTAATTAGCCATCACTTAACCTTCTTTGAGCTTCAATTCCTCATCTGTAAATCAGGATAATGATCCCTGCCTATATAATGAGTTGGTAACAGAGACTGAATGAGATAAAGGATGTGAAAAGCATCTATACAGGCAGGTGTGGGGTGAACCAAGGACTTGGATTTAGGAGGGAAGATAGGAGAGCACTAAGCTAAGCAACTGCTCTGGCGGGTAACCAAGAAGTGATTGTATAATTTTAGAAATTATATGCAAACTGATGTGCATGCTTCCAAAGTATTCTTCAGACATATTGGTAGTTGTGTGTGTGTGTGTATGTGTGTGTGTGTGTGTGTGTGTATGTGTGTGTTTTCTTGGCATGAAAAAGAAAAAGAAAAAAGAAAGTTGTAAGGTCTTTGTAACATACATAGATGTGTCAGAATGAAAAAATTCCTGTGTCATGCATTTATTTTTCTGTTAGTGTAGACATGGACTTGATATAATATAGTCCTATATATTGAAGTGGTGGAGCTCTCATCGTACCATTTGAACATCACAACAGTCCTCCAGTATGTAGCTTGTTTTAGTCTCTGTCGTAGAGAAAACCAGAAACGTTGAGTGACTTGCTCAAAGTCAAACAGTGGCAGGGCTTGGACTTCAAATTATTTGTCTCCATTGTTTATAGCATAGATACTTGTACACCAAAGGGTGCTTATTTCTTAATGCCTTGATATTTAGGAATCTATAAGGGAATGTTTTAAAGTCATTCATTATTTTTGCTGTGATAGTGTAATAAGCAGAGTACTGGCATTCTGGCGATGTGCTGATTAGTAATTTAGCAGGGAACTAGGTCTCTTGTGTGCAAATAATAGAAACCTATAACTAACTTAGGCAGAAGATAGTTTATTGACTCACACAACGGGGAAGTCCAAATGGTGAACCTCATCTATGTGGATCTGGTGGTTCAGCGTCATATTTCTCCATCTCTCATCATCTCTGCTTTGCTTTATCATGGCTTCCCTCTCAGGTGGATTCTTCATGTGGTGCAAAGTGATCCCCCGTCAGCCCCCGGCTTACATGCTGCTCATTGTATATGATCTCAGAACGGAAGAGTAATTACTTATCAGTAGCCATACGTTCTCTGAAAGGGGCACTGATTGGCTCTGCTTAAATCCCGTAATACTCCGGGAACAATCACACTGTCACCACAGGAACCTGGCTTTGATTGGCCATATGGATGATGGAGAGCCTCTCCAGTTTGGAGAGAGTAAGTTCCTGCAGGGAAGAGATACTAGGCCAAAAACAAACACAAAAGCATTAATAGATGTCCATTATCAAAATATTTTTTTGTGAATCAAGGTATGATTTGAAAAATGAGAAGACTTTTAGGAAAACCTAACTCAGCAATTGTTACAGGAAAAATGGGGATAATAAAATTAAATCTTCAAAGAAAAAAAACCATAGCAGCTAACACTTCTATAACATTTGCATTATAGCCAAGCACTATTTAAACACTTTACATATATGAACATATTTAATCATCTCCAACCTTTGAGAAGATACTATAATTGTTTCCATTTGAAAGATGAGGCAGTGCAGGCGCCGAGGGTTAAGTGGCTTTCCTGAGTGGGGCCAGGGTGCAAATCCTGTCAGCTGGCTCCAACATAGATGCTCTTATCTACTACATTTACAGCCTCTTGATTATCCTTCTAATGGATTTTGCCATGCTGTCACATTAAATTTTTAATATGCTTTCACTAGCTTAGAGCTACAGTAGCAACACAGTTTTTAATAACATCTAAAAATACAGGGAAACAAGATCATGTTGTGATAACGCCCTGAGTTGAGAGCTCTTCCACTTAGTGTATTGGTGACCTCATCCAACTTCCTTATTAACTCTTAGGTCTCAGTTTTCTTGTCTGAAGTATGGTGACAGTAATTCCTAACTCATGGGGTTATTTTAAGAATTAAATGAAATTGCACTGGAAAGTGCTTAGCACAGTGACTGTCATAGCTGGATTACCTTAAATATAATGAACACTTTCTATTTTCCAGTCACTTTACATGATCTATCTACATGTCTGTCCGTATATAGGTATTTAGTTATACACACAAATGTGTGTATAATTATACAAATTTATATATGTAACTAAACATACATTTAACTATACTCATATATAGTTACTTATATGTATAACCAAAGACACATTATAAACACAGTTATACAAATATAACTAAATAAGAATGCATGTATACAATAAA